AGAGGCAGTTGCTGGAGTTCACCCATGATATTCATGTTAATATGAACACTAACTCCCAAATATGATGCCATATTTTTTTATTACTCTAAGGCTTTCGATCATGTATCTCACTGTCATTTAATATCAAAACTTTCCTCACTGAATCTTGATTCTCTCACTTTATCATGGATTCAAAGGAAGGACTACCCAGGATAAGTGCTGACTAAGAACTGATTTTTCATTGGAATGTGTAGATGGCACTATATTCGCTTAGGCATAGGGCGCACCGTGGATTTTGCAATTTTTTCTTCTTCATTGCACACTCCACATGCTAACCAAGATCCAGAAAATTAATCTCACCGTTCGTTGGAGTCAGTGAAGGTTGGCTCACTCAAGATGGTCTGTTTTTTTATTATGTAATAGGTTTCCTTCATTTCTCTACACATTTGGTTTTGGTGTTTAAACAATACAATGGTGTTGGAGAAGTGTGGTTTGCACCTGCAATCTCGACAGTGCACCGCTAAATGCTAGTATGCGGTCCCTTGCAATGAGCTTTGGTGTTCTCAGAGTCCGATGTTCAGGCATCGCCCGGTCACCTAGGTATCCTGGTCACCAGATAAAAGTCAGAAACATTAAAAGATATATTTTTGTAATTATTGGAGCTTTAAATATTCTGAAAGGTTTTCTGTATGTCCAGTAACCTATGGTGGCTGTCATGTAATGAATATTCTAACTTGCCTACTTTCTGTGTCCTGGCCCCTTTCAAGCAATTTCATTTCATTTGGGTTTATAGCTTTCTCAAATCACGCTGGCACCTGCAGTGCACTTGCGTGTAACTCATATTGCAGGTATCAGGTGGTTTAGTTTGTCATTGCATTCTGTTCAGAACCTAACCACATTCCACATTTTTTGTTTTTCTTTGTTTTCAAGGTTCTATAGTTGTTCATATAGACTTGATTGCTGGGCAAGTTACAAACATTGCCTTCCACTTGTAAGCTGGACGCAACCCACTAATTATTTTTCAAGAATAAAGATACAAACATGTTTTAGTCAGTGCTGCATCTTGTGTGCACTTGCTTGAAATTTCTTACTAACACGGTGTTCAAACACCTATCTCTGGGAGGTGCACTTGGCAGTAACCTCTGAAATTAACCTGTGACAGCAGGCTTGAAGAAACTCACTGAATGTGGAAATATTTTGAAAAATATTTTTCGGACTTGCCTTGTTAAAATGGTTCCATAGCATAAGTCACAAGTTGGTTTCACTGTTTAGTGCCTGCCAGAATGAATCTGAGTTACCTGCACTGTGATTAGTTTGCAGAAATCGGGAGGTTTAGTTTGTCATTGCATTCTGTTCAGAACCTAATCGCATTCCACTTTTTTTTCCAGGATCTGTAGTTCTTCATATGGACTTGATTGCTCTGAAAGTCAGAGATGGCCTTCTACATGAAAGCTGGAAATGGCCCACTAATTATTTCTTAAGAAAAAAAGGTATGAACATGTTTTACCTAGTACTGTATCTTGTGTGCACTTGCTTCAAATTTTTAACAGTGTTTAGGCACCTGCTAACTGCTGGGATGTGCAGCTGGAGTTAACTCCTGAAAGTAACTTGGCCTCACAACCTAATCACATTTCATGGGCACTAGATATTTAATCTGAATTGTTCCCGCATCAAAACTTAGTTGGCGTGTTGTCCGTAACTTGCGGCGGCAGAAAGCTGCAACTTTTAATCACTGAGCTGCACGTCATGCGTGACAATGGGAATCATTCAGACATTACAAATTAGCTGCCGTGAATCATTCAGACATTAAAAATTAGATGCCGTGAATCATTTAGACATTAAAAATTAGCTGCCGTGTTGTCCACACCTTGCAGCAACGGCTAGAGCCTGTTGAGCTGCTAGCTGCAGTGATCTAATGAAACGGACGTCTCGGGGAACAATAATTATATTAGTAAAATGCTCTACTTATTGTTCACTGAGACGTCCATTTTGTTAAGTCACTGCAGCTCGCAGTTCAACAGGCTCTGGCCGTTGCTGCAAGGCGCGAGCTACGCACCAGCTAATTTAAACGATTCCCTTCGTCGTGCGTCACGTGCAACTCGGTGATTGAGAGTTGCGGTTTTTAGCCGTCGCAAGTTACGAACAACATGGCAGCTAATTTTTTATGCCGGAACAATTCACGTATCCGTGCATCACGTGCAGTACAGTGACTGAGAGTTATAGTTTTCTGCCTTGCTTCTAAGGGTCAAGTTGCGGGGAAAACTGCAGGGCCTCATTACTGTCATGCACGTTAATGCTGTGACCTTGATGGAAGACAACGGTAATTGTACCGGCATCAAAAATCAGGTGGCAATTTCTATTAATTTGTCGGATTTTTTTTTTTTACAGTGAATGTACTTTTTTGTCAGGATTCCATGAGCTTGGATTGTGTCTAACTCTGGACCAGGAATCTCCGACGAGTCCAGCGTGTAATCCACGGCAAAAGGCCCTGTAAAGCGCTATTTGTAAGTGCTTTTTATTCTAATAGTCCGTGAGAGACGTTATGATTGGTTATTTTTGTGTTCGAAGTCATGTTTATTTCATTTTTGCTGTTAAAATATGGCTGTCTTCTTGGTGGTAGATGTGTGCTGTAGTAAAGTCCTCCCAGTAGGTCCAAAGCCGAATGCCACAGAGCGTTGAGTTAGTCCTTATTTGCCAAGATTCGGCATGTTGGGTGCGAGTGGAGTGTCAGTTACGTCACTGCAATATTTGAATATCTTTGCCAGTAATTGTCTTTACTCAGCGAGTTTTTTTTATGTGACTGATTTATTTTAATTTCTTGATTCATTCGAATGTCATGTTCTGTTTAACTGTCATGTTCTTTCGTATAACAGGGTATTTATTTGACTTACTTTAGTAGTACATTTGACACTGGTGAGCTGAAGAGGGAGGCCAGCGGTTTGATTTTTAACTTGTAAATAATATGGGTACATTTATGACTACATATTTCTGTGCCGCAAATACCGTAAGCCTTAAAGCATTTTTTTTGTTTTTAAATCAACATACAAATATAGGCGTGAACTTAAATGACAAGGTTGTAATTATCAGTTCTTAAAAACCCCTGAAAAGAAAAAATTTTTTTTTTTTTAAAGTCTGGTTGTTAAAAAAACTTTAAGCGAAAAAAAAAATTATTTTAGAGAAATATTGATGGTGCGAGGTGCCTTGCAATTAAGTCAGTAGTCACCTCCTTTCAACTGCTTTTCTCTTGGCATTCGGGTGTGTGGAGGAGAGGTGGATCGGCTTCGCCTTCACTTTGAGGTGGAAAGAGCAAATGACCATTCTGCGATGTCATGGACTTTGCCCGCATAATTTCATATCAATCTTTTGCCGTCAATATTGCTCTAAACTTTTTTTTTTCACATAAAATTTATTTTTTGACACGTGCGTCCCAACCAAACTGCTGAAAATAATTTTTTTTTAGAGGCCCTTTAAGGTTAGATTAAAAGTTCAGGGTCACTATGATGTTGCGAGAGTAGGCCTAAGCAATTTATAGATTCACCTTCCTACTATTTGAAAAAAAAAGAGCTCTAAATTCGATTTTGCAGTGCATGTGGCTGCACCTCCATTCAGAGTGGTGCAACCAGTTCATTCACATGCAACGAGAAATTTAGAGCCCACATCTATTGTGCAGCTAGCTGCATGATGAAGTGGCACACATGAACAGCTTGCTGACTATCTAGTAGTGTTGGTTGTGGTGGGAGCTTAAGCACGCCACAATGCATTCTTTGTTTTGTCATGTGGCTCATTTATCAATTATTTTAACTCTTGCGTACCAAAACCTGTGTGTTCTTGGGTTGGGCTACTTTTATATATATATATATATATATATATATATATATATATATATATATATATATAGATATATTTTTTTTTCTTAGAATTTGTGCATTTAGTGTGTATAATTGTTTTTTTTTTTATTAAGGTTAAATGGTACTTTATAGCAAATTAGCTCCTTGTAGAGCTGAAATTACATTTAATTAATGGTCTCCCCAAACTGAGATGTTACATGCATTCGCTAGCTTTTTTGTGTAAAGTTGTAAAATAAACTATAATATACGGCAGTCAGCACTGAAACACAATAAATTGTTCACGCTAATTAATCTATAAAATTTTGACAATTCCACTTGGACAAATCCAGATGTTAAGAAATTGCATTCATCCTACCCTTCGGGAAAGTCTATAAATATAGAGCTATGTCTTTTGCCACTGTGGGCAGAGGCCAGCTGAATTGCTACCGTTTGGAAGGTGGAGGGGTGATGTGCAGGGAAGCTAAACACTGTCCCCCTCTCCCATATTGTCTGCTAAATTGTTTCAAATGTCACGGAAAAGGGGGGGGGGGCAACTGCCCCCTCCCTTTGTACCCTGTATTCCCTGCCACTGGCAGGGGGTGCCAGGCATGTAGCCAGGATTTTGTTTCGGGGGGGCCCGCCCATGACAAAATGCTGTATGAGGGGGAGGGGGGAGAGGAGGTCCCAGCAAAATGGAAGATTTCGAGGGGGGCCTGGGCCCCACGGGCCTCCCCCCTGGCTACGTGCCTGGGGGGTGCTAACTTGGGGATGGGATAAATGAATGCAACCACTTATGGCTGCCATTGCATACAAAGGAGAAAATAGAGAGAGAGGGAGAGAGATGGTGGATTATCTTTCTCTTAGGTATTCATGTCAGAAGGGGTACTAATGGTTTTGGATGGTTAAGGCTGAGCGAGCTAGCCATGAGTGCTGCCTAAGTGTTCGGTTTGGACTCTTGTTCAATCGGCAAAAAAGCAAGTCCCAGACAACTATTCAAGTATATCCTATGAATGGCTCCTGGGATTTTCGAAAATGGTCTATTGTTTTGCAAATGAGTGCGCTGGTATTAACTACCCTATTGGAAAATCTCGATGATGGAAAGATGACGGAAAAGGCTCATACAAGCGTAACCGTAATATGGGACATCCTATACAAGCGAAAAAGGCGGCTCCAGTATAGTGGAATAAGGCGGAACGATACAGGTGGGCGGAACCATACAAGCGTGTCGTATTATGGGACATCCTATACCAGCGTAGTGGATATAGGCGGAACCATGTAGGCGGACGGAACCATACATGCATAACGTAATATGGGACATCCTATACCAGCAAAAAGGCGATACCAGCGTGGTGGAGCCATATGGCTCCAGCGTGTTGGTTTCGCCTTTTCACTGTTGTACAGGGCGATTTAGTTTTAAGCTTTACATATATGTTTAGAAAGGTCGTGAAAGCTATATTAATGCGGTTTGTGCAGGCGAGTTATACGGCCAGGCGTACGTAGTATAGGGACCTAGTCGTAACGATCAGTCAGATAATTAAATACAATTTGTTAATCAACTTTTTAATTAGTGAAAATGAAAATATGGTTTCAATTAGAAACTTGCTGAGTCATTGAAAACCACAAAATAATGTCTTTTTAAAAGGATATAATTCAGGGGTAGCGTTTTATGCATTCTGTAAAAAGCTTTATTTGGACGAGTTTCTAGGTTTCAGTTTCTTATCAGAGCTCATCTCTGCACCCACGGTCCTGTTCCCCAGGGGCATAGACACGCAACACACATGCGCCTTGCTTCCCTTCATCCTACGAGGGAGGCGAGGGGGCGGCTTCGCACTGCGGTCACCGGGCAGCTGGACCGCAGGTGCAAAGATGCGCTCTGGTAAGAAACCGAAGTCTGGAAATGCGTCCAAATTGACCATTTTTTTATAACGCCATAAAATGCTACTCGTCTTATATCTTTACAAAGAAAATTGATTTAGTGTGTTTTGATGATGCTTAGCAGGTTTCTAATTGGAACCATGGGTCTATTTTCACTGATTAAAAATTTCACGAACATACTATACTTAGAGAGAGGCTGAAGCAGTTTTGTATTTGAGAAAACACTTTTAAATCTCCTTCATTCGACCTCCAGAATCTCAAATATCAAAATTATTTGCTAATTTAATTAATCAAGGCTGCATAGTCATTTTTAAAGAGCTGTGAAAGCGCCTCCCTAGAGAGCGACGTCACAACAGCAGCTTTCAAAATCTTTGTTCACGCATCTTCAGCGCCTATCAAAGCTATGCACGCACATGCTATTTTTTAAAAGGGCAGAAAAATGTGTCACGACTGGTGCCAGTGCCGGAGAATATACCTAGAAAACTTGCGATTGGACGCGCGGCCCTTAAGCGACACACGCTTGGCGGCCGAAAGGTCTTCTTAGGATGTCACTGTTGGTGGGATGTTTTTTGTGTTTTCTCATGTTTAGTTATATCTTTGAGGAAAACGAACGGGATATTCAGATTCGCGGGATAAAACTACGCTAGAATGAACCTCCATCTAGTTTTCTGAAAGAAGTCTGGCACATCTCTGTAATAAGCCGACGGATCATTACAAATTAGCCTTTTATACTATGCCGCCCTGGCCATATAACTCACGTGCACAGACCGCGTAAATGTAGCTTTTACGGCTTTTTTAAAAAAAATCTGTAAAACATAGAAAAAAAACTGTAGAATGTCCCCCAATACGATACGATTGTATGGTTCCTTCCCCGCTTGCATTGTTCAAGAAAGACTTGTGGACATCCAGCGTTTCATTGGAATGCTGGATGTCAGCGAGTCTCTACATCAGTGAGTGGTTTCAAACAAGCATGGTGTTTGCACACCAGTAAGCTCTTATCCGAGGCTCACCAGGACCACTAAGAGCAGAGGCGAAATGTCGTGACCTGGTAAATTTGGTTGCAGGTATTTATTTTTACAAGAACTGCATGCAGCAAAGCTTAACTTTGCTTAAAAGAAGATTATTAAAAATTCAATACTGAACAATGGTGTCCCTTGAGCTGTCAGACCAAACTCCCACTCTTGCCACTCAGGAGTTCCTAACTTGTGCGTAGAGGATCAGCACAACCCAGATTTGTGCTGCGAGCGCACCTGCAATATAAAAGTTGAATAAACATGAGATGAAATACGAGACGTTTACAATTCTCTGTAACGTGAAATTAGAGCACAGATCTTGAAGAGGAGGATGGGAAGGTATGCCCCTCCTCCCCCTCCCCTCCTCCTCTTCTGCTCCCTCCCATTTAGCAGGAAACTTCCCTGAATTTAGCGGGAAAATTTCCCCACTAAATTTAGCTGGTTAAGTTTCCCACTAAATTTAGCGCAGAAATTGATGTCACATGACCTGAACACAAATGCAGTTTTTCCGCTAAAAGTAGCAGGGAAAATGACGTCGCATGACCGTGTAACGTCAGCCATAAAAAAATTCAGTTTCTCAGCTAGACTTAGCGGAAATATTAACGTCACATGACCACTACATTAATTCAATTTCCTGCCAAGTTTAGTTGGGTGGTTACGCCGACAGCGACGCCGCAAAACGCGGAAACGGGTGCTAAGAGCTGCGCTAAAAACTAAATGCATCAGGTGAAATAAAGTGAACATTAGAGATACTGTAAGAAAAAGAAGAGAATCTAAGATACCGTTCTCAGATCCTTCCTTTTGTCCGTTCTCAAATGTTTTGATTTCAAGAAATGTTTATCTCTTTATTCATACCCAGAGAACACCTCCCAGTTTCAGCATGAATGCAATAAATCAATGCAGACTAGACCTTGTAAACTATAATCCACATGAAAATTAATGTTTGCCACATAGTCATGTATGAGTCAGTGGCTCAGATCTCTAAATACATTTGTATTGAGGAACATTGTTGAATAAAACTTCTGGGCTTCGAATTCAACAGTTTGTACTTCCGTAAGGAACACTGTATGGCACTGATTTTTTTTTTGTGACACATCAGAAACAGCACAGCACTGTCATCCTCGCATACCTAACAAGAATTTGTATTTTTTTTTTAGCATGGCATGTGCTATTCTAATGCCCATAAAGCATCCTTTAACAAAATTTCCTTTGTAGAGCTTTTTATTGGTTCTTATTTAGCTCGCACGACAGATTCGGTACCTTGAATTCTCACTCGGCATCAACAGTTTTATATATTAATGTAATAGCAAAAGACAAGATGTATGGACTTGAGTACGGCTCAGCAAGCACAGATGTTGAGAAAAGTACTGAAGAAAACTCAAATGTCAAAATAAAAATAAGCTGGAATGTGGAATTATGGACATGGACATGAATACAGTTAGCAGATTCAATATGAAGAATATGTGTTAGACGCACGCTCAAAGAAACCTGTTGCATCTATATTCATTCAAATTACTTTGCAGAACCCAGCGCTGCAGTCTCAGGTGGGAGTTCGCTGAATGAGTCTACTGAAAATGAGTGTAGACGGAAAAAGCAGTTTGATCTGCGATAATGAACATTACATAAGTGACATGTCATTATTACTGTTACAGTGCCGAATGTTCCAAACTGTCAGTCGCATCATTCTGTGAGTTCCCTCCATACATTACAGGGTTTGGCTCTCTCGAATGCTTTGCGAGAAAAATGATGAACTGGAAATATCTAGAGTAGTTCTAGAAAAACTATTTCCAGAATCTTATCTCAGCATCGCAAAGAATATAAAAAGTTTCTAAAGACAAGGTTAGTGCAGGAGTTGAATAAACTAAATACTTTGTTTTTCGAAACCATCTTGCCGTAGTAAACGTATGAAGTTCCCCTAGGTAGAGCTAGTCATTACGGATGATTGTGCCCATTGCGTACCATAAAAATTTAATTTGCGACCTACAATATTTACAAACTCAATTAACTCTGAATAAGTGGACCACTTGGCATTAAGGATTGGCCTCACCATGACTGTCTGCCAACATCTACATAATAATTTCCATGAACCTATGTATTTCAAGAAAATATTTGGTGCGAGCTGCTTAAAACACAATAGCACTTTTTAGCAAGTGCTGATTGTTGGGCAAGTTGGTACGGTACGTTAGAAAACATGATTGTGCTTTGAAGACGGGGACATAGGAAGGACAGACACCACAGAGTGCTAACTTTCAACTGATTTAATTCAAGAACCTCGGCGTAGAAACACACTGCGTCACCGCACCACATCTCAACCAATCCGTGGCCCTGCCACGGACCGCAAGTACGCCAACTCCTTATCCGCCAAGTCAATTGACGCCACACTGACACAACACGTGCCGGAACTATTTATAGCATCAGCCTCCATAATCTCTCTAACAGTCATATCTTTGTGCCTAGCAAGAACAGTAGACTGAGCAAATAATGGTTTGCACTCGCAGTCATGATCTGTCGTGTCACTGTCATGACTGCGGGTGCAAACCATTATTTGTTTCGTCTATTGTTCTTGAGAGGCACAAAGATAGGACTGTTAGCGAGATTATGGAGGCTGACACTATAAATAGTTCCGGCACAAGTTGTGTCAGTGTGGCGTCAATTGACTTGGCGGATAAGGATTTGGCGTACTTGCGGTCCGTGGCAGGGCCACGGATTGGTTGAGATGTGGTGCGGCGACACAGTCCGTTTCTACGCTGAGGTTCTTGAATTAAATCAGTTGAAAGTTAGCGCTCTGTTGTGTCTGTCCTTCCTATGTCCCCGTCTTCCAAGCGCAATCATATTTTCTACCGCACTTTTTAACACTAATAGAAAGCCTGTAGTGGGCCACAACTTAAGCAGTTTTCACTTCATTATAAAGAGCAATTACACATATGTGAACCATGAATATAGGCCTGCACTGAATTTTTTTCTTAAGCTGAACGTGCTATGCTCTGTTTACTATATAAATCTTTGCAGAGCTGACAATGTGCAAGTTCCTGTTTTTTTATATTTCACATGTCCCGACTGGTGAGTGTGGTAGGGACATAAGATTGATGACACCAACGAAACACAATGATTATTTTAAGAATTTGTTTGGGTATAGCACGAGCAAGGAGATCTGCGGGAAGTTATTTCTGTGACACCGTCGAACCTACATCCGCGGGCTTTAAGTTCACATGTTAATCATGTCTGCAGACTCCTTTTTGTAATTGGAATTTCATCCAACCCAAGATTTGAATATGTTTTTTTTTTCATTTTAGGCTTAGTAGTGCTTTTGCTGTTCTATTAATAGGTAAGAAAAATGCTTATTTCAAGTGACATACCTAACACCTGGTGGCACGAGGACTCCCCTGTCGTGACGCAGACCGAAAGTCACAGCCAGGGAGATACTGCGATGCTCTTGTTGCTGGGATTACCTCCCCCATGGTCCTGCCCAGACCACAGAAAAAGATTGAGTCCAAGCTTGTGGCCACTAGGATCTCCAGATCTTGAGGCACCCAAGTAGCTGAAAATAAAAACAAATCACAATCAAGTACTTGGCAGAGCTACATTAGAATGGCTAGCATATTCTTTCGTGATCAGCACATAGATCCTCTTATTTTAGTCATAGTCACCCCCCAGGACAAAGCTACGTAGGCGTTAAAATGATGGGTACCGAATTTAGGTGAATGATCAAATGCATTCATTTAACCCCCTTTCGCCCCAACCTGAGACTTCTGTCAAATATTCACATTCAACTGTAAAGACTACAAATAAAACTACTACTGCAATGCAAAGCCGTATAGTGGGAGAGTTTAGCCAGCGGGTGTGGCAACGAAGGCGCCGGAGAGGAGGAAAGGGAGGAGAACGCCGAAGGAGGGAGAGAGAAGGCAGCAGAGAAACAAAGAGGAGCCGACCACCATTTTGACGCAAAGCTGTCTGCACGGAGCACTGTTGAGGCTACGTGTCGTCTGCTACGGGCTTATTTATTTTTTTTGCCTAAATAAAAGTGCGTTCAAACATGGAGGAACTTCTTTCTTTAGGTTTTTAAGCCACCGAGGAATAACACTATATCATTGTATTGCCAGAGCCTGCCAAATAAAAGGAAAGAACCGAAATTTGAATATCGATCCCATGCCGGGCGAATGAATGAAAATGGCGGCCCTCCCCGCTCAGCTGGGAGCAGCCTAGAGTTCACGCGCATGCGCTCACGCCTCTTGCTCTGTGCCGCGGGCTGATCAGCTCACTCGGAAGGGAGACGTTACGGCAGCGAAATCATAGACTGCCAGACTCTCCCCATATATGGCTCTGCTGCAATGGAAAGATTTTCCTACCCTCGTGCTCAGCGAGTGTCGACTGTGGATACAACTCCGGCTCATACACTCGCTGAACATGAGGGTAGAGTGTACCAGCAGAGGGCAGGTGTCTGTATACAAAGAGTTTAGTTGGCACACCAAGAGGCTAACGAATAAGAATGGGTACCACTCTGAGCAAAATGCCAAAAAAGCGTGGATCTCGGCTTGACACTAACAGCGGCACACAGTATCTATTTTAGTGACAAAGGGGTACTAAATCATTATTTTCAGCTTCGTAACTAAACTAAATATTCTTCCCGGCTTGCTTTTTAGGAAAATCTCCAAATTTACAAGAACTACTAAGACAACGTCTAAAAAAAAAAAAAGCAATGGCAAAACCAGCAATTGAATTCGCCTGCTCTCCAGTAGCAGGACATCTATGGCAGGCAGACCTGCAGAATGAGCAAGCAGTTTAAGAAACAGAGTATGTCCTATGTATAATTTTTTTTTATGCTGCAAAGCAAGCGCTGGAAGGAGGTTTCACGACATTAACGAAATTTCTTGCAATCAGTTGAGAACAAATTAGAGCAGTGAACTTGTCCTTGCTTCTGGCATAACGTTTTAGTGTTGCCCATGGAAACTCGCATAAATTTGAAAATAAAAACAAAAAAGACTAACCTTCATAAAAAAATCTAACTTTGGCAAAGAAAAGTTACCTTGGAAAAAATATGTACAATACAGTTGTACAGCGTGCATTTGTGTGCTTAACCAATTTTGAGGCAAATCGGCGACAATGAAAAGAAGACGTTTGAGTACAATTAAGGGAAAGACAGAAAGGATGCATACCTACAACAAAAACATTTAGAACGACCACGGGCAGGAAACTCTGGTGAGGCTCTCGGAGTGACTCCCTCATATGGGCCTGCGCAGACCACAGAACAAGATCGGTCAGAGCTTGCAGCCATAAGGTGCTTCATACCATGAAGTTACAGAAGCGGGTGCAATTGGAAGCAAAGTGCATTTCATTTCTCTGAAAAACGAAGAGTTTAATAGGTAGCTTGCATTCATAAGGTGATACAGTCATGAATGCACAGACTTTTCAATGCAGCGCTATATCACCAACTTGTTAACCATGCCGGGCAACACTAAAAACTGAGAGCATTATTTTAAACTATCTCAGCTTAAAGTTAACCACGACAGAAGCTTCAAGCCATCCTTGCAAATTCAGTGCACAAAGCAAGCCATGTGACCTTCTAGTTGGACGCCATGGTACGTCGAGCTTATAATCATGCGTCATGCTGTTTTTGCTGCAAAGGCTTGTAGTTTCAAAAGTGGTCCAGCTTAAAGAGACTAAAAGTATAGACGTTTATGAGTGGGGCCCTCATTTAGTCTGCAGCTACATTGCGAAATAGGACGTTCCAACCGGGATGTTTGCTGCCTGTAACCACACGACCAGCTTGTGCCCAGCGATTGTTCGAGCTGAATACATGTCCTCGACAGTGCCATTATTTGACAAGCATTTCTATGACTGTTAAACATGAGTGACTTACAGAGAGACTCCACCTCAACGACTAATGACTTGGGATACCTAACTGAATACTGATATATCAACTAAATGCAAAACAATTACCTGGCAAGCATTAAATTTTTCAAGAGGCTGGGTCGACTCCGCATTAAGTTGAAGGAGTCGATGCGTAATAGGACAATACAAACAAAAATATGCCTTAGAATTCCTTTTGCACCCCCAAAATGATGTGTTTTTGAAGGTAAGGTACACAATGTTCTTGATTTAGAAAGTGCCTCAGCTGTACAAATGCATATGCAATAAGGGCACTTGCCAAGCCTATTCTACTCAGCTCTGTGCAGGTTAAGCTAAGTTAGAGTATAGAAGTACATGCTCACTGACACCATCAGAAAGGCAGGGAGAAGTCTCCGTTGTTCGACCTCCAGCCCGTCTGCTACCTTCGATGACGTTTCAGCGCCTGATGAGCCTGGAGCGAGCACATCTGTCTAAAGCGGGGTGAAAAGCACAAGCATGTGCTGGAGGACGCCCAGCCATTCTCTTTTTGTCATCGGCTATACTACATATTTTTAGTAAGACATATTTTTAAGTGAGGAAAAGTACTGCAAATATGCAGTCCACCTTAAAGATAACAACAGTTGCCATTCACCATTTTCCAAATAAGTGCTCCCACGTACCGGAACATCTACACATGTGGTGCGTGAGTAGGTTCAGGACTGAGAGGCTAGAAAACGAAGCGCTCGCAAGGCTTGTCTGGCCCTTCCAACCATGCGGGTACATTCGTTGCAAGTTCCCGATTTGTAGACAAAATGATTTAGAATGAGCAAATCTTGTCTACGCCCGAGGTAGAACATTGAATTGCGATTCCCCCATATTGTGCGAACCATCCTTCAAACTGCGGTACCACCTGCAAATAAACTATGTTGTGCTGCGGCACGCGTCCATGCTGCCTGCTTCAGAGGAAAACCACTGCTCGTGTTGAAGACGACATCCCACAGTGGACAGGCAACAATTTTTAACGAACAAAAACAAAATTGATATCATTCAATAGACACAGATAGGCTCACAAAGTGTCGGCACCATGATTGTTGTTGTTGGTTTTACTCTTGCATACAAACAAAGGTGACTTCCTCTCTCCTCCATGGACAGTAAAACCCCCTTATCTTGGTGGCCCCTATTTCTTCTCGAATCGGTCACAAAGGACATAATCGCAGTCACTGAATTCCGCAAAATTAAAGGCCGCGAAAAGTAAAGGTTCGCCAACATTAAGGGGTTTACTGTTCTTCTGAGTGTCACATGATGTTAACATTTCAAGGAGGCTGAAGGTATTGGTTTAAGAAAAAATTTACCTATGAAAAAAATGCCCTTCTCCAGGTTAGGCACGCGAGGTTCTTTTGCACTACCTATAAGGTGGCAAGTTTATTTCGGCAGAGCTTTTGGTAAAACGGAGTCACAAAAGTAGCTATACTTGGCGTCAACTATTTTGTGCTGCATTATAAAGCCAGAGTAGATTCCACAGTGCGTGCTTCAGCAGAGCACTGTTTGTTGCGACAGCATATGTGGTTTAGTGTTGCATCCCATTTGCATAATCTAGAGAAACTAGCGCTGACAGAGTTGGAGCACTCCAAATATTAACAGCCGACTGTAGAAGCATTGAGAGATGCACACATGCGAACTGTGCATTTCTTAAAGGTGGGTCCGAGCAAAGGTAAAAACAATATCTATACTTACGGCGGCCATACTTGCCTTTCCCAAGCACGACCACTTTTCCCTCTGTAGCACCATCCAGTAAGAAGCACCAGCAACACGCCCATGAGACGCCGCCGCCTCCTGGATTGAATGACGACCCGCCTGAGGTCTTGGAAGGAGATCCGGAACACTGCTTTAGGCCAGATGTTGTATCTGGTGGGGCAGAGACTAAAAGCAAAAATTAACAAATTTATCTGAAGCGCTACATTCCTATAGGACAGCAGTATTTTTTTTAGGCCAGTGACTCGCTTTATTTAAACACAAATGGTTGGTTTATATGATGAACCATCAGCCCCTATTTTTCTTAAGTGTAACGCAGTGTCTAACGTTACGTCCGACGGAACCCGAAATAAAAATTAAAGTTACGCCCAACGTAACTGTCAAGCATTCGAGTTACGTCCGACGTAACCCAAAATAAAAATTAAAGTTACCGTATTTACTCGAAAATAGGTCGAACTCTATTTGTTAGACCCACCGAGAATAAAAAAAAAAAAAAAAATTCAAATATAGGTTGACTTTTTTTTTATTTTTAAGAACAGGGGAAATTTTGGGCAAAAGAAAGAAACCTTTATTTACATCACTTCACAGCTTGGTAGACATCCTCGCAAATCCGCCACAATACTTCACTGACACCGTTGTAAAATGACGACAAGAAACGAAAGAAGGTGCGAAGCGACGAAAGACAAACTACAAAGACGCAAACAAAGCCGCCGTGTCGCCATGAGCAACACGCGAGCCGAGACGCCTCAAGCAACTAACAAAAGTAACATCTTTTTTTTTTCTTTTTTTGTGCGCGTTTGCGAGGATGGAGGACAAAGTGCATGGCGCATCGCGTTCCTCTCCTTCCCCATTGCCCAGCAAGGGGAACGCTAGAGGTGCGATGGCGAAATCCAATGCCCCAAGAGGTGCGCGCGATAGCGGCATCGGCCACCGCTGTTGTTTTCGGTTGTTTAACAAAAGCTTTTGGAAACAAGAAGCGGCGCAGCTCTACGGCAACGCCGGCTCGGTGACTCGATAGCTTCATGCCTCCGGTACGGTCGCAAAATTTGGTCGCGAATGTAGGTCGAAATTCTTTAATCACGATTTCCGAAAAAAAAATAAAAGAAAAGAAAAAAAAAGGTCGACATATATTTGAATAAACACGGTAGTCAGCTGCGCGACGAGACACACATTATGAAAGCGATTGGTGCGAGCGATCAAGGTGATGAGCGACGTTTTCTAGAAGCCCAGGAACCGAGCGGCGCAAGCAGCGAGAGTGAGATCTTCGTCGCTCGGCGCCGGCACTCGTAGCTTCTCGTCGTCGCTCGTCTCGTTGATCGCTATATTGCTTACATGCTGTTCAGAAAGGTGCTCTAAGTGGTTACCATTGCATTGGGACCAGCCTCGCATCCAACCGTAACCAGTCTTGACTTTTTTTTAAGCCGCCCAGGTAGAAGTTAACATCGTACATACATCGTTTTCAAGCATGGCTCCTCGTTCATTGCTCGATTTACTTTTTCGTAAATGACAAACCGCAATGAAGCACAATTATTCTAGTTCAAAATTGTCACGAACACTTGGCACGCATGCTTACACTGTAGCGCACCTAACGTAATTTAAAAGTAGAACGAAAACGGGACGAGATTCGCTTACCGCTGCACGGAAACAGAGTCCTTCGGATCCTAGGCCTAACGGCCGAAATCGGAAGTCGCCTGCGGTCCGGCGATCGGACGAGTTGAGCCGGTAGCTGTGCTGACCCCGGCTGACCACGCCTGGTTAAACCATGAGAGGCGTCGTCGAGTTGAGAGCCAGAGACGCAGTAGAAACGGACCGTAAAACATCTGTCCCGTAAAACGCAGAAGGAGCCAGCGCCAAAACCGCTACGTCTGGCTGCGTCGCCATCTCCACGACGACCGGAAGCGTGTAAACCGGGACTGGCCGGGAAGTTAGAAAAGGCGCGGCAGCGGAAGCCACTGGGCGGAAGCTTTACGTTTCGGTTTCGCTTTTCTCCGACATCGGCCACGGTCGCGGGCTGGTATGTTTGCGGCTGGTTGCGACGACGCGAGGGGCCACGAAAAGACGCCGAGTTGGCGGAGTACGAGTCACGGCCCACGATACGAGCAACGGGCCATTTGCCCCTGTCGACCGGCGATGCGGTATCCGCGGCTTAGTGTCACGATCGGTTTGTTGCCGTGCACGTTGACTCAAAGCTCGAAGTTATGCAGTTCCGTCAGTTCCGTTCCGGCACCAGCCGCACCACGTTTTCCGGTGCATCGCACGTGGAGGCCTTTCGACGCATTCAGTGAACGTAAAGATCGCGCCCGCTGTCTTCGGTGCTGTGGAAGAAGTTGGGAGACGGAAGAAGCATCAAAACCAAGGCGTTTAGGACTCCAGTCCGGGCCGCCGGTCCACTCTGAACGAGAGGCGACGTGTGTGTGCACGCTTTGAGGAAGCCTCCACGTTTCGCCGCGCCAGACCTCGCCGATCGCGACCAGACCCCGAGTCCGAGAGGCTCTTGCGCAGCCAGGAACGGCAGCGAGGTAGGAGCTGCTCGTTCTGCGCAACCATGCAGTGCTCTACAGTGATCGGAGCTCTCGGTGTCATGCGTGCTTGCACCGAAGCCTTTGTGACCCCTTCGGACGCGCAAGTCGTACTTCGCAAAGGTTTGGACGGGGCCGCCCTCACCGAGCAGCTCCGCTAAATTCCGCTTACTTATGATCGCAATAAAAGCTTGCGTTTGTTCTCGGGAAAAAAATTGCGGGACCGCTCTCCGCGCCGCCGACGAGGTTGGCCGCCACCATGTTCTCAGCTGTTCACTCGCTCCCGCAGCGAGCGCCTTCCGATAATCCTCCCCGTTCCAAAATGCGATGCGATCTTCGTTTACATGGGCTGAATGAATGCGCACTCGCCATCTCGATCCACCTCTGTCTAGCGACTTTAATGCGATGCGCTTTGCGCATTATGCCGTTTACATGACCGCATATTGAATGCGGCAACTGGATTCAATGCGACTAAGACGCATTCATGTAAACGCGGCTTATGTTATTTTTCGACATGTATGATGTATGTAACGATACCGGTGGTAAACGATGGACGGTTTTGTTGGAAGATGGCGGTCGTCTTTCTGCATGTATGGTTTAGTTATACCGGTGGTCTTGTGGTATAGGCGTTTCGTTGGAAAGATGGCGGTCGCCTACGTCATCGGACGCAAAATCATACCAGCCATACCGAGTCATATCGGCGAGCAAACCGGCTGCCAGTATAGACAGACCCGGAGCCATAGCGGTGCCGGTATATCCAGTTATGGAGAACGCAAAACCAAACTAGCTGCATGTATAATAACAATAAATTATGGTGGTGTCATACCAGGACTGTACAAGCAGCAGGTTTGTTTCTTGTACGTTTTTCCAATAGGGTAAGGGCACTTAGCAAGCTGTTTACTCTTTTTTAATATTGCTGACTTTACATTTATGCATTCATTCTTCACAGGAGGAGGAGCACGACGGATCGACCTGTCCGGTGATGCGCATTGATGAAGAGGACTCAAGTGCCATAACTCTGGTGTCGGAGGACCACTTCTTTGAGGTGACGGATATTGTGGCTGGTGCTGCGCTCGTTCTTGCGCTGCACTGGGTCCACGACATATCTTACCGTCAAAAAGCAAGCCGGTCACTCGCAGTGATTGGGCACTTCATTGGTTTGAAGTACAAGATAAAGTCGGTCCTGGCTTTGGATCTGATATCAGAATTAGAAACTTTTAGCCAAGGGTATTTAGGTGCCAGTTTTGCTTTTTTTGCCATGTGCTGAAATTAAAGTCTTGGTTTATTAAGCTCTTTTCTACTGTTTTTGTTCTTTCTATGCTGACTTTTCATGAAGACGTGTAGCCTCTGTACAGGCTCATGCTCTATGTGCCGTTCCACATTTCCTATTCAACCATCTTGTGAACATGTACATAGCCGCTTTTAGATTTTAGGGCTACTGTTCTTTGCAAAAGAGTTGTCCCTAGTTGTATGCAACAACTCCTGCAATAAGCCCGAAAGTATTCCACATTACAGTGAAATCAAGGGAGGTATTGACATTCATAAAATAATTGCAAAAAGAAAAGTACAGTGGTTGCACTTCAACTGGCTAAGAATGCCAATTGCCAGTAGAGTTTTTTTTTTTTTTTTGTTTTTCCCAGCACACTTTTTATTAACAAAGAGCCAATTTTACACTTATGTTCTTTTAATTCTCTTTTCAGGCATTTGTGTTACTTTTTACTGGGTTAAATTTCACCCAACAACACGACAAAAACAACATATAACAGTATAATTAAGCAGAGTTTGTGTGACCCCTTCCTGGAGAGCGTGTTTAATTCTTTTATAGAGAGTTTAGGCACCACTTCTAACGGGGGTGTACTTTATGCAATTCTTTGTGGAGAGTAATTAACTCTATTAAAGAGTTAAGCACTCTTTGAAAAGGGGTCGCACAAACTGCTCTAGTGTGCTGTTATTTGACATTAACTCTTGCTAGAGAGCATGTTTAACTCTTCAGTACAATGTGTAGGCAACACTTCTTATGGAGTTATATTTACTCTCCTCAAAATGGTCATCACAACTCTTACTAGAGAGCATGCTTAATTCTTTAATACGGAGTTTAAGCAACACTTCTAAAGGAGTTGTAGTTACTCTGCACAAACAAGTGAAATCAACTCCTGGAGAGTTTTTTTAACTCTTTACTACAGAGTTTAGACAACGCTTTTAATGGAGTTCTCGTTACTCTACACAAAAAAGTGAAATCAACTCTTCAGGGAGAGTATGTTTAACTCGAATACAGAGTTTAGGCCACACTTCTAATGGAGTTGTAGTTACTCTACACGATGGAGTGAAGGTAACTCTTCCTGGTGAGTACGCGTAACTCTTGAATACAGAGTTAAGGCAACACTCTAATAGAGTTGAAGTTACTCTACATGAAGGAGTGCAGGTAACTCTGCCTGGAGAGCATCCTTAACTCGTTAACAAGGAGTTTAGGCAATACTTTTGATAGAGTTATAGTCACTCTACACAAAGGAGTGATATTAATTCTCGTCAAAGAGTTTAGACAACACTTTTTATAGAGTTATAGTTACTCTACACAAAGGAGTGAAATTAACTCTCACACTTACACATAAAAAGAGTAGTCCTGACTCTTGCAAAAGTATTGGCGTGACTCTTTATAGAAGAGTTAAGTGAACACTCGCATGGGAGAGTTAAACGGACTCTTGTCGTTGAAGAGTAACCGTTACTCTTCATAGAGAGTGCGGTTTGCGACAACTCAGATACTCTCCAAAAAGAGTCGAGTCGACACTTGTCAACTCCTTTTTTTTTTAGAGTGTATGCTCTCTTGGGCATAACACTGAAGAGAGCTCTTGTTGGCTTAACATGAGCACGGCATCAGAAAGAATTTCGTAAATATACGAAAATTTAGGGTGTTGTTTGCAGCCCATCATCTGAAGCCGTATGGCAGTCTTGGCACATCCACCCCGAAATCTGTGTATGAGAGACGCACCAGCTGGCGGATGCTTACGCCGACGCCGACGGCGACTGCACTCAACTCGGAAACGGGCGCCTAAGAGCTGCGCTCTAAAAAAAAAAAAACAAGGATCAGAATAAGGCGCAGTCAATTATTGTCTTCCGGCCACTTTCGTAGCTTCCGCAGCCTTTGAACAGAATGATTTATTGATCTGAATACTAAACGTTTGTACTATATAAAAATAACGTAGGTGGTATTTGTGGGGCTTTATACCCAATTTTGTTCTTCAAAGTGCTTGCCCAGAACTACCACCCATTTCATCATCCGCAAGAAACGACTATCGCAGTGGCGATCCGTGCAAGTTGTGCAGGTGCTTCCAAAATCTTGTCGACAGCTCTCGTATGGCAGCGAGAAACTCATAAAACTGCCATCGAGTGACACAAAGCTCGTCGTTTGCGACGTCTCGAAACGCGAGTTAATTCGACCGTCTGCGCCATACGTGCCTTTTTCGTCGCCTCTCCCTCCCTCTAACATGCGTATATCAGACAGCCTAGTCGACGGAGCCTTTATTCTCATAAAAATAATCAAATAAAAAAAGTTACGATTGATTAGATGTACGCACCGGGGGCCGAAAGATCAGCGAGATTCATCTAGTGAAGGAGACGACAGAAGGTATGCAAAAAGAAAAGAAAAAGTGTCGTGTCCCAAACTCGGGTTTTGTTTTGGATCGTCGGTTGAAGTTACGAGAACTTGAGAGAAAAGGATTTTTGTTTCTGCGTCGACTTGAAGACAACTTGATTACAGGCTGTTCTTTCGTTTTGCTACGCCACGCGCTACGAATTCTGATAACAAATCGGATTATGGATCTTGTCTGGAAACACAGGCTAGACTGTGTGAGGCACGCCCCACTCAGTGCTTAACGGATCGTTCATCCTCTCGTCTGGGTCCAAACAACATCGCTAGGAGTGTTAAGAAAAAAGAAGTACTACCCTATGTGAAAGTGGATAAATCTGCATTGAAAACAAAGGTAACTCAATGCGATTGGTGGTAATCATGGGCGTCGGCAGGATTTTGTCTTGGGGGGGGGGGGGGGGGCAAACTGACAACCCTTTTTGGGCGTGTGCGCTCAAGGGGAAAGGGGGGGGGGGTCGCACAGTAAAATAGGAAAGAGCTAAATACAGCTTGCAAGATACACATATTTTTTTATGAAACAATGTTTTTTAAAAGTAGAGTACACTGGTAGCCCAGAGCAGGTCTAATAACTTTTCGGACTGCTAATGGCACAGAGTATCGAATTTTGTACTGCAAACAAGATACTGAACGAATCATCTTACAAATTTAAGCAAGATGGGAGTTCCAGCAAAGAGCATCGTCGAAAAAAATACCAAGATACTTCACAGTTGATGTATATTTTACTGGTTCACAAGCACAGGAC